TGATGATGATGATGATGATGATGATGATGATGATGATGATGATGATGATGATGATGATGATGATGATGATGATGATGATGAGTTATTGTATTTAGATATATCTGAGATAAGCACAGCACTTAAAAGTCATTATCTTACAAATTATGGAAAAATAAATGAAATCCAACCACCATTTAAATCACCTGCAAATGTTGATCTAATGCATAAATTTGTTGATCTAAGTATTGTTGATGCTGTTACTACTCAAATAGATACTGTTTTTTGTGTTGAACGAAAGAAATTTCTTGAAAAGCAATTGCATTATACACAAATTCCATATAGTGAAGTTTTTATGAAAGAAAAATCTGTAACATTAATATCTGGAATAGCTGGTATTGGGAAAACATGGTTGCTTAGAAAATGTTTGCTTGATTGGTCAAATTGTCTAATTTGGAAAAATGTTAAACTTGTGTTTTATTTGGAATGCAGGAGGTTAAATCAATATCAAAATATTTCTAATATTAATGAATTACTAAATATTTTCTACAAAGATATTATCAATAATTTTAGTATTAGTAATCATCCTGCACTGTTTATAATTGATGGATTAGATGAGTTTAAATATTTAAATGAATTAATAAATCCAAGTTTGAGTTTTAACTATCCAATTGTTAATGCTTTAGCAGAAATTCAAAAATACAATTATGTAGTTGCTGGTAGAGTTTATGCAATTGATCAATACCAAAGTATATCTACAGAGCATAGTGATAAGTTAACCATTCAAATAATGGGATTTAATGAAAATGGAATAAATAATTACATAGAAAATAATGTTTTAGAAGAAAGAAAATTTGTAGTGAAAGCAACATTAAAAGAATCTTCGATTGCAAAAGCCATGTCATCTGTTCCATTTTATTTATCTTCCATGTGTAAGATTATTAGTGACTTAAAAAATGTAGATAAAAATTCTTTTTTAACAATGACAGATTTGTATGCAAATATTTTTTTATACTTTTTGCAAAAACACATTATCAAAAGCAATGAATTGATTTATCAGATAATGGAAAATGACTCCAATAAAAAATATATTTTAAATATTTGTAAAATTGCATATCGATTGTTTGTTGAAAATAAAGTTATTTTTTCCAAGGAAGATATAAAAGTTTTTATCAATGATTTTGATGAAAATAATGATAATTTTTTTGGATTTATAGAAAGGATTGAAACAAATCTAGGTTATTACTATCAGTTTGCACATCTAACAATAATGGAGTTTTGTGTATCTGTATATGCATGTAATTGTTTAAGTAGTGAAGAGATTACAGTTGATAAAAGACTGGAGAGTTGTTTATCAATGATTTGTGGATTAAAGAATAAAAGCCAAAATAATATATTAAAGTTTATTGTTAACCTGAATCCTTCAAAACAATCTTCTGAAGAATCTTTATTTTTGTTTTCTATTTTAGGTAAGTCCTTGTTGTATTACTGTAAGTCATTTTAGAGGTATTTATTATACAGGTGTTCAAAGTTTATCTAAATAATGTCTATCAAAATTATTTAGAATAGTTTTTTTATTATGCTGTTTTATTTTTATTTCTCTAAATGATCAGCTCTTTATATTTGGTGTGTTTAGCAATATTTGGCTAGACTTTTAGAGAAATTTATAATAAGTATTTTAATATTGTTTATTTTAAACAATTTAAAAATATATATTAAATAACTTATAATATATTAAATATATTACAAGTTGTATAGCATACAAAAATATAACAAAGATATATTTATTGTTTTTAATTAGAAGTAAATTCATCTGTGTCAGCCATTACATACCTCAATAAAGCTGATGGAATTTAAGTTGTTTTTAGATTGTAGTCCAATATTATAATTAATTTGTATTTTTTCATAATTTATAGTTATTTAGAAGATTTTCTTTTAGAAAACGAAACATAATTTAAAAATACACAACTGTTTGGCTATATATAAGTATGGAGTTTAAAACGAAGCATGAATAAAAAAATTTTTTTGCTTATATTGCCTCTTACTAAATGTTTATTTAGGTTCATTTATTCATTTATTTACTGAGTTGATCATACTGAGTTCACTTTCTCTAAACTTGGCGAAGCTAATGATTTTTCATGATATTCTATAAAGCATTTAACATGGTTGACAATGTGATTTGACAAATTTAGTGTTACATTTAACTTGCACAAACATTGATTTAATGACATCACAATACAAAGAAATTTTGTTTTTAATGAGACAGAATAAGAAAAATTTTATATTTTTATCCATTCTATTTGATAATAAACAACTATTGCATAATAAATAGGCAAATTAAGTAAAAATCACTCAAAAAGTTTCAGAAATGACTAGATTTCCTAGATTTGACAGTGTAATGTAAATCAAGAGGTTTAATGCTCAAATTCACATCCAAATCTAGAAGTACTGCACTCAACCTGCTTCTCAGCACAGCTGTCTTGGTTTAAGCTAAGTGATCAATTAGTCACAAAGACTTGTGACTTATTGATCACTTAGAAAATTTTTTGTGACTTACTGATAACTTAGCTTGAACCAAGACAGCTGAGTAGGACATCAGAAAATTCAAAAATTTTAACTTTAATGAAAGCTGTGTCAATTGTACTAGAGCTAAGTTATTCAGAGTGAGGTACATTAAATTACCAGTTACGGCAACATTGGTACTCAGATAAATAGGCAAGGCTTGAAAAAATTGATCAGAAATAAAATTGGAAAAAGTACTGAAAAAATAAGGAAAAAGGTGATTCAGTGATAAAGTGCTAAAAAAAAAAGCATGTATAAACAGAATTATTAGATTTGAACCTGATTTCACAACAAGTTTTGTGTTTTGTAGTTAAAGTAGCGAGGCTTAAAAAAATAATAACTTTCACAAAGTAACCATGATATTTTTGTTATACTGCCCTTAATAACGATGATCAAAGCCCATTTATTTTGATCAAAAGTTCTTGCCTTGCTTCTTTGAGTAAGCTACCATATTTTTGTAATTATATGGACTTTTTGCAACAACATATTTTGAAATTATATGGACTTTTTGCAACATTCTGCATCTCATTTTTACTCTATACATTTTTTTCAGCTTATGGTTGATAAAAGACTGGAGAGTTGTTTATCAATGATTTGTGGATTAAAGAATAAAAGCCAAAATAGTTTATTAAAGTTTCTTGTTAACCTAAATCCTTTAAAACATCTTTCTGAAGAATTTTTATACATATACAATCAACTCCATAACATATTTTTCAGCTTTGTGATTATGGTCATGTTCAGGTCATCATATCCTATGATATTCATGATCTGTGGTTTAACTAAGATACTAGCTCTATCCTTGTCCACGAACAGATTCTGTAAAAGATGTGCAGTAGTAGCAGCATTTTCTGAGGTTCTATCATTGGCTCCCGTTTCATATTGTCTCTTGTCCACAGAAAACTCAGTCTGTTGACTGTACTGGGTCAGTTGTAGCCAACTCTTTCTGTGGTAGTGGGCCTTAGTGTCTTAGAGGTAATGGAGTTAGGAAATTGATACCAAAAGCCTTAAAGATTCAATAGAATGATACTATTTGTAAGTCTTTCTTGACCTTCTATTTTTAGTCAGCATACATCAAAGGCTAGTGATAGACCGAAATTCTGTTTTGGTATTGGTTTCAGCCAAAATTTCAATTTGAACTGATACCAAAAGGCTCAAATTTTTGAGGCTCAAAGGTGAACTGCCTTTGAATAGGTGCTATTTATTTAGCTTGTAATACCAATAGCCTCTATATAAATAACCACATAATTGCAGAAGCACAGCCCATGTTTCTGACAAAATAAGTTGTGAAATAATTGATGTGTTTTCTCTGATTTCTGATTTTTTTTTTCTCCAACAAATTCTTTTTGCTTTTTTTCTCCAACATATTCCACACAAGTCTTGATAACAAAAAATCAGCATTTAACTTGGTAACACCTTGGTCTCTGATTAAACTATTGACTTTCTGACTAGAGAATTATGACCTCAAATATTATTATAATTTGTACTTTAAATAACTCCTTTTCTATCAGAATTGCTATTTTCTTTTAAGATGACTGATTCCTCTAAGGGGATTAGGAACTGGTAGCTCAGGCTTTACAGTCCTAGGGTTATGGATGAAGGAATGTCTGAAAATGTTTTAGGTACATTGTCTGATTTATCTATATATTTGAGCCTCAAATATATAGATAAATGAGCCTCAATATATATATATATATATATATATATATATATATATATATATATATATATATATATATATATATATATATATATATATATATATATATATATGTATATATATACACACACACATGTATTAAATAAATTAATAAACCCTGTTTGTATATTTATACACACAGAACCCTATGCATGTTCCCAAAACATGCCTGAGGTGGCAACTAACTTCATTGCCCCCTCATGCATGAACTTCTGCCAAAAAGTATAAGCAGTAGTTGGCTGTGGACCCATTGAAAATGTGTGAGGGTTAATGAAAAAAGCAGTGGAAAAGAAAAAACCAAAAAATTTAGATGATTTAGAGGTTGCAATTCAAGTAGTTAGGAACAGACTTTTCTCGGATTATTTGGAGTCATTAATCAGGGTGGCCATTGGTCCTTGAAATCCTGGAAAAGTCCTGGAATTTTAAAGGTCCTGGAAAAATTATGGAAAAACACTCTTTTTTACAAAAAATCCTTGAAATCCTGGAACTTTTTTTGAAAGATTTAAATATTTCGTTTTGATGTTTTTATCTTTTTATTTTCGATTATGTATTTTCTAGAATATTCAAAAAATATATATAAATATTTTAAATAATGTTACTTTCTCCATGGTAATAATATCTTAATAATATCTACTAATTATTTAGAAAATATAATACACAATTAATATATATATATATATATATATATATATATATATATATATATATATATATATATATATATATATATATATATATATATATATATATATATATATCACTAATATAATGCCTAAAACAAAGAACTGCCGTTTCCAAACAGAATGGCTATACAATAAAAAGTATTCTTCTTGGATAAAATTTTGTTCTTTAAATTCAAAGGAAGCAAGATGTAATTAGTGTCGAACAGATATTAATATTTCTAACATGGGAGTATCTGCGTTAGATTCACATGCAACTAAAAAGAAGCATGAAAGTACACTTAATGCAGCTGATATATTTTTTACAGGTTATTTTTTAGTTATTTATATTTAAATATATTATAAAGAATTATATTATATTTAATTAATTTAGTTTTTTAATTTTGAAAAGCTTGGAGCAAGTTGATTAGCTGCGCACTTTACAGGATATATATTTTCATGTTTCACTTTTAGATTTTACTACAGAAATATCTGGTGATAAAGCAGCTTCCAGTAATTTTCAAGAACTTTCTCCTCATTCAAACAAAGTTTTAAATGACAAAGTTACACAGCTTACTATAGAGGATCTTCTATCTCCAGCTTTGGTTACTAAGGCAGAAATAATATGGACCTCAAATGTTGTAATGTCACATTTTTCTTTATGATCATGCTTAAATTTAAATGAAATATTCAAATTTATGTTTTCTGACAGTAAAATTGCATCAAAGTTTGCATTAGGCAAAACAAAATGTGGTTACCTCATTAGTTTTGGTTTGGCGCCATACTATCGAGACCAACTTATATCTGAAGTCAGAGCATCGCCAATCTTTGTTTTGTCATATGATGAGAGTATAAATGTAACCTTTAAAAATGAACAAATGGACTGTGGAGTTAGATACTGGGATTCAAATTCAGGTGTTGTAAAAGTTAGATATATTGATTCGAAATTCCTCAGATGCCCTAATGCATAGATTTTATTTGACAAACTCATTGAAGCAACAGAGATGTTTGATCTTGGAAAACTTATTCAAGTTTCAATGGATGGTCCTAATGTTAATTGGGAGGTTCTTAAAATGTTAAATGAGCATAGACAGGAAAAACGATATTCTGACATTGTTAATATGGGCAGTTGCAGCTTGCATATTGTTCATGGTGCCCTACAGACAGCAATAAACTCCCAAAAGTGGGAGTTAGAAAAAATATTTCGTGCAATGTATAATCTTTTTATAGAGTCACCAGCTAAAATAGATGAATATATTAGAGTTTGTGAAACAGATCTGCTTGCTTTACCGAAAGTATGCATGTTTAAGAATAAAAAAAATTTATTATAGTTCATTATATCTTTTATTATTTATATATAAGTTAAGAGCATTTCAGCCTTTAAATTTTTGGATTTTATTGTTTTACAGTTTCTGTGCAACTCGCTGGGTAGAAGATGAAGGTGTGGCTTCTAGAGGCATTGTTGTATGGCCAAACATGGTTAAAATTATGAAGTATTAGGAATCATTATGCAAAAGCAAACGTCCTAAAAATAAGAGCTATGAGGTTCTGGTAGATCATCATCTACACAAGTTTGTACCTTTGCGTATGCAGTTTTTCAAAGATCTGGCTAAAAAATTGAAAGGGTTTCTAGTGCTATTTCAAACAGACAGACCTATGGTTGCATTTTTATCTAATAGTTTAGAAAGTATATTGAAAAGTTTGATGAAAATGATTCTCAAACCAAACATTTTAAAAGAAGCTGCAACTGCATATAGTTTAACAAAGATTGAAGTAGGTAAATCCAATAACCAACTAGATGCAAACAAAATTGATATCGGAACAGCACTAAAACAGATGCTAAATTCTCTTCATTGTAAACCAGAAGAGAAATAAGAATTTATAATAGAATGTAAGCAGATTATTGTAGTGTTATTGCAAAAATTACAAGAAAGATCCCCCTTGAAATATTCTTTAGTGAGGAATGCTTCATCTTTGTCTCCAAGTGAAATGCTTAAAAACAAGGAAATATCCATTCTTAAATTCAAGGCTCTTGCTGAAAGATTAAGTGCATTAAAATGGTTATCATCTGACAATGCAGACGATGCAAAACAACAATATGATGAATTTGTTAGTGCAGAATGCGTTCAATTTAGCGAAAAATTTGATTCCTTCAACGAGTTAACTGATTCTGTTGATAAATTTTTTGCTGTTTATTTGCATAAAATTCCAAAGTATTCAGCACTGTGGAAAGTCTGTGTTATCGTTTTTGTGTCATCTCACGGCCAATGTGCAATAGAACAAGGGTTCAGTGTTAATAAACAATTGTTGGTTGAAAATCTGAAAGAGAGATCTCTTATTTCTCAAAAAATAGTTTATGACCACATTAATTCTCATGACATTGTCATACATCAGTATGAGCTCCCTAGTGATCTTTTAAAAAGTTGTAAGTTAGCATACAATCGTTACAATATAGTATTGAAAGAAAACAAAGATCAATTAAAGGTAGATGAATTAAGCAGGAAACGCCAATTGATTGATGGAGATATTTTAGTAATGAAAAAACAAAAAGAAAGTGTTGCAAAGTGCATTGAAATTCTTAAATCTGATGCTGATAAGTTAAGCATCGAAGCAGAAGCAAAGAGAGACCTTACTGTTCTTGCAAAAGCAAATTCTTTTAGAAGCACAATTTTAGAAAAAGAACAAGCAATTTAAGACAACTTGAATTGAATTAAAAAAACTTGAGCAATCTAAAAAAAATATAAAATAAAATAGTTTATATCAAAACATACTTATGTATTTAAATATATTTATATATATTTAGTTATTTTGTTCTAAGAAAGTATATTTTGCTTTTACTAGTTATTTAATTGTCAAGAAAATAAATCCTTGAATAATCCAAAATTATTCTTGAAAATCCTGGAAATATCCTGGAATTTTAAGTTTATTTTTAACTGGCCACCCTGTTAATTGACAGTATGAATCGTCGTGTTCAAAAATGCATAGAAGTCCAAGGACACGTCACCCGATATTGATCAATATATTATTTTAAAAATAAGGCTTTACTCTTTATTTTCTATTGAACAATTTTATTATTCATTTATTATTTTGAAAATAAAACTTAAAAGACTTGGTCTCATTTTTTTTGTCCGGAAGGTAATATCTATGAATATACTGTCCCATATACCTAAAGGCCATTCTGAATGGTTATTTACAAAAATCAAAGTTTCAGCATATTTTTGAAAACTTTTAAAGCATGACTGAGTATGCCAATAGTTTGGTGGAAGTGAGAGCCAGTCTTTAACTTATTGCTTATCAAGCCCAATCATGTCAAAAATCAGGTAAGAAAAAGAACCAAGACAGGCAAAGATGGTGGTTTTTTACCATTATTTGTATCCATTTTATAAATTTCCTTGATATCAACTTTTAGTCAAAGCTAGACATATCAAATGACGGAATTGCTGATGCAATTTTTGCCTTTTCCTCTAATGCTAACTCATCATCTAGCTAAGCTAGAGGTATCATGGTTAAATCCAAATACCAAAAATGCTTATACTGAGACTCTACAGCATCAGCAGCTATTGGGTTTGTACATACATTCTTGTACAGATGCATTTGATGTATGGCTGTAAGATCAACAGAGCTTTAATGACATCCTCAGATTGTAGATACCATTTTGCATAAAAGCAAACAAATTCTGATATAAGCTTAATTTCAGTTTTCAGCTTATCATTTTCTTGAACAAACGCAAGTTGATTGGATAGAAGTTGAAGCTTTAGATAAAAAATTGCTTTTCCTACAAATTTTGCATAAATAGCACCAGTTTTTTATACTTTATATGTAAAAGAGGATAAATAAGTAATAACTAATTCTGCAAGCTCACTTCTATTATCTCTTATAATACCTGGTTTACCGACATAAACTCTGCAAAATGTCAATGATTAATTGGCTGCCTTTTTTAAAAAAGAGATATCCTTATTCCATAATTAAAATTAGGTTCTTTAAAAATGTTTTTTAACTTTTGAAAAGAGGATTTTTAGGTCCATTAGTTTTGTCATTGGTCGCTAGTTTCCTAAAACGAAGCATTCTTAATTCAGTTACATTATGCCTACAGACTATTTGGAGAAGATACTATCTAGTTCTTTAAATATTCTGGAAATTGATTCTTTATTTGTCCCAGTATTGGATCAAAACATATTCCTCTAGTTTTTGATGTAAGTTGGTACTCCTTAATTAAATTTGTTACATCTAAGAACTGATCTTTACCAGTGGATGATGCTAAAGGAGATACTTCAAGTAGGTAAGTTTTTACATTAATGTTAACTAAAACAGCCACTCTATCCCTCTTTATTTTACTGATTTTCATTTTTTTTTTTATTTCTAAAAAATATTATTTCCTAATTTTTGCAAATTGTTTTCAATTATAATATATTTATAGGTGGTTTGCTAGAAATTAAGTTTCAACTGGCAAAAGATATGTGTTTTATTAGTCTAGACATGTCAAAAAGAAGTGGTGAAAATATAGATAGTTGGTGTGCCTTACAGGACCACAGTGGTGAAGATGAAACTCTGAGACATTTCTTGTTAAAGATATAACTTAATTTGAAAAGATAATATTAACACATCCAGAAAAAACTAACATTGTTAGAATTAAATCAGATATCATTGATAAGGTAATTGTAAAAATCGGTTCTGCCCTCTGTTGCTAGGTTTAATTGATTTTGGAAGTGTCTCCAAAAATAAGCATGTATCAAAGCGATTACTTCTTTGCAATATAAAGGAATTATTTATTGAATTCAAACTAGAACACCCTTACTAAATAGTAAGATTCTCTAAATTTGCTCAGTTACAGCCAAAATGGCGTATTTATAATGGTCAAAAAGAAATCCATGCTGTTTATATATGTACAATACATCAAAACATAAAGCTTATGCTTAATGCAGTTAAACTGAAGAAAAATAAACTTATTGAGAACATTGTTTGTAGCAGAGACTAAAAGCAGATGGTCCATAGATGTAATCATTGAAATAGATGTAACTCTTTAATATATCTATTTCTGTTTTAATAAAAGCAAAAAAAATGTTTACAAAAGTTTAATGTTACCACAGTTACCAGACCTTAGTTCTTCCTTTGTTATAATTTCCAAAGAAAACTATAGATAAAAAACAATCCCCATATTGATATTGTTCTAATTGTTTTTATAAAAAACAAGTATCATGTTCTAAATCTTTTTCTTAAGAACTATACTGATGCTAATTTTCAGCTTAATTTCATGTTTTGTTTAACAGCAACAGTAAATCAAAATTTATAGTAAAATCAAAATGTCCATAAATTTCTTCAATCATTGGAAGGGCTGCTCACAGAAAAGAGTAGCTAGCAAGCTAAAAACGACTCAGCAATACGTTTCAAAGATGCTATTGCAAAGAACAAATATCAGATGTCTAAAACGCATTGTCAAACCAAAGATGACAGCCTTACAAGTCAAGTTAGCAAGGCCAAAGTGTGGACGACTTTTCCTCAAATTTCGTGATGTCGATTTTATTTTGGATGATGAATCGTACTTCACTCTTTCCAACACAACTTTGGCTGGGAATGACCGATTTTACTCAGATGATATTCAAAAGACTCCTACTGATGTGAAGAACAAAATGAAGGCAAAATACCAGTCAAAACTACTTGTTTGGGTGGCAGTTTCACCTCGAGGAATGAGTAGTGTCAAATTTGACACTACTCATTCCTCACGGTAAATATATTGATTGATTGCCTGGCAATCAATATATTTACCGTGACGAGTGTATACGAAAGAGGTTGATTCCTTTTATTAACAAATACTATAGGGATGGTAAATACGTATTCTGGCCCGATTTAGCTAGCTCCCACTATGCAAACTCAGTCCACGCCGACCTCAGAGACAAAAAAGTCAATTTTGTACAAAAACAAGACAACCCAGCAAACGTCCCGAAAGTCAGGCCAATTGAGGATTTTTGGGGATTTTTGAAGCAGAAAGTGTATGAGAAGGACTGGCAGGCTAAAACTATCACTCAACTCAAAGCTAGAGTCAGTCTTTGCCTTCGTAATTTGGACAAAGACCTTATACACCGCACCTTCAGCTCGGTACACAAAAGACTCGATTTTGTCAGAAGGAATGGAATCAAAAAACTTTAAAAGACATTTTTTCTAACACTTAAAATTGTTGTTTATAAAATGCAAAAAACCGTTTTAAAAAAATTGTAAAATGACTGAGATATCTTGTTTTAAAAGTTGGGCAAAATTTTAGTTGTGACCCATTAAAACAACAAAAATTACTAAAAATAGCTGATTTTAAAGTAACAATATCTCCAAAACCCATTTGATATCAGTGCTAAAATTTTGCAAGGTCTATGTTATATAAGTGTCCATTTTTACAAAATATGAAAAAATCTGAAATGGTGGGTTACATGCCTGTCCCACTTTTTTATAGAATACCTCCCAAGAGTATAAAAAGAAATGTGGTTAAATGAAGAAGTCCTATAAAGAAAGCACATATAAATAAAAGAATTAGATTCAAACCTAATTTCACAACAAATAGATGAATCATTATGTGAATATATGCCTAGGTTAAGCAAGTTACTATTAGGTTGTTTGTAAATTATTGGATGATAGTCATCAACATTGAGATCTAAAGGTAAAACAACAGAGTTTATTTTAGTTTCACAATTGATTTATGTTATGTTATGTAATTTTATGCGTATTTTTACTTTTACACTAGTGTAGAAATAAATGCAATGTTAATGTATGTAAAAAAATATAAATTAATCTTTATATTTTTTTGTTGTTTAATCTTTATATTTAATCTTTATATTATTTAATCTTTAATTTTTTTTTTTTTGAAATTTCTATCATTATGCCTTAGTGTGTATGTGACATACAAGATGTATGTCTGTGGTGCAATAAGGTACATGAAATAATATAGTTAAAGTCTTATTAAATAAAGTTTCTAGTAAAAAAGTAAAATCTGTTTGATTGAAATTAATCTAATAAATAGATAATTTAAAATTGATAATAATGAATAAAGTTTTGGGAGCCCATCAGTGCAATCATCTTAGTTGTGCATGAGTTTTTTAAAATAAAGAAAATATACATATAAAAAATTGCATTACAACAAGGTTTGAAAGCTAGCATGGAAAAGTTTGTTTAACAATAACTCTGTGATTTTGTACAGAGTACAATAACTTTACTTATTTTATTGTTTAGATTAATAATGAGTATATAATAATTGTTATTATGATAATAATGATTGCAAATTCAAAACAAAAAATTCTACTGTAAATTTCAGATATTCAAATTTTGGTTATAAAACATTATTCATCCATTATAAACTTTCAAGCAGGTATGAAGCTGGAATTTTCAGGATTATGTTTTTATTTTTTTTCATAAAATATGTGGGTACTCAAAGTTAAAAGCAAGTATGAGGTTGCTTTCCTGCGGCCAATAGTTGATTTGATATAAAACAACCTTTGAGTTAATAATTTTGGGTTGTTGTTTTTTTTTTGTAACTTTTTCAATTTTAGGTTGACATGAAAGAGAAACTGTTAAAAACGAATTTTTTTTGACTCTTTTTCTAAAATTATAAAATTTTTTATGAAATCTGAAAATTTTTTATGAAATTCTAAAATTTATATAGCTGTATCTTTTGAGCATTAAAATTTATTTTTATCATTATTATTTATATTATTTTTTATTTTTATTATTCAAATCTATTTATAAATTATGATGAAAATGTTTTATAAAAATTGAAATCTGTTTGTAAATATATAATATACATAAGAGACACAGTTATGTTAATACTATTAATTTCAGCAAGGTAATGTTTGTTAAGGCTTTGTTTAAATCAGTTGCTGAATGATGTGTTTGGATAAAACATTAAAACAAACATCTATATCAGTGCATAGAAATCTTAACAAGACAATAAAAGTTTTAGAGTTTCTGTAAAAATTGACTATAATGGTGTAAAATTAGGAAGCCATGGTTGTTGAACACAGTTTAATATGGTTATACTCTCGAGTGCCGAATAACGGGGGGTGGGAATAAACGGGTGGGTGGGAATTTAATCAAAATCTAATAAACGGGGGGGGGGGGAGATTTTTCTGAAATTTAATAAACAGGGGGAAGGGGGTTGAATTTATAGTAGGAGGAGGATTTAATCTACAAAATAAATGTGCAGGTTTTTTTGTTTTAAGAAAAGGAACCTCTTCTAGTTCTAGTAAACAGAGAGAGAATGTAATCACCGTAACATACAAAAATAATTTACCAAAAGAAAATGAATGACTTTAAAAAAAGGTTTAATTATCAATATTTATTAACTTTAAATAAAATATATAAAAATGATCTTTTTATTTAAATAGCTCCTCAAAAGCGTTCCTGATTAAATCATCTTCATTGCGGTGTTCCACTTCATTTTTTAACTGTTCGTTGTCAAAGGCTTTAAAGTTGTTTTTAATACGGCTTTTTATGGCACGGCGAGATGTTATATAGCTCCGTTTCAATCTTGTAAGATGTGGAATAAATTGGATAGATGTTTCTGCATTACATAAAAGTTTTCCTAATTCATCAATGAAAACAGCATCTTTTTAGATCTTTAGATCTAAAATATTAGATAGATTAGATCATCATTGCCTTGACATAAGTCACCTAATAAAATGTTGGATGAACTATCGGTATTTAAATTAACTCAATTGTTTTCATATTGATTTTCTAAAGCACTTGTTTCCAAATTTGTATCGTTTTCCTCGTCTGTCTGATGCTCTTCATCAAGTTGATTTTCAAGGTCTTTTGGGTAGAACTTTTATTTCAGTGGAGTGGCATTTGGTCACCATTCAGCACAGGTGGATCAACTCCAAAATTTTCAACAAAGTATTTACGTACAGTCCAAATGGTTTTCAGGTACTCAAATATTCTTTCTTAACGGTCAGCCTGCATTATTTAAAAGCGTTTGTTAGGATGGCGCAGACTGACACCATGCTCATTCATCCAGTTATTTAACCAACGGTTTGAGAAAACAATTTTCTTGTTCTCTGGCACCTCTTCTGGTTGTTGGGCGAGCCACTGTTCATAAAAAAGTTTGCATTGTGCTGTAAACATTTTCCTGGGTAAACGTGCTTTAAGGGTTCCACGGATGTCTACAAACCACTCAAATAAAAGTTGTCTGACGCCTGTAATGGTTAATTTTTGTCCTCCTCCTGCTTGACAATACTTTAATTTGCTTGGAGGAGCAGTTACAGCATCTTCATCTGTTCAACTTGGTTTAGACATCTTTTCCCAAGTTTTAGGCTTTTTGTTAAAGTTGGATTATCATGCTTAATGTCTTTAAAGTCCGAATAAAACTCTCTTACAGCTCTTGCGAGGTATCCTTCACATTTTTTACAAAGCATGCATAAAACTATTTATGCATGTTCAAGTCAAATGTGCATTTGACTTGCAGTCAAAAGTGCATTTTCTAACAGCTATTTAGGTAGGGTTAGGCTGTTTTATCATAATTTCAATAGGATTTAATATGCTGATATAAGTACTACTTTGCTAAGTATAAAACTTATATTCAGCATATTAAATCCTATAATTAAAACCAAAGCTTTGTTGAGAAATAAACTAAAAGTTCATTTTTAGCAAATCAAGATTTAATAGATCGACAATTTGTAAAACCTGTTTATGCTGAAAGTTTTTGTTTTTATCGGTGACTGAAAATTGTTTTCAAATTTTTAAGGCTGGTTTTCACTGGATTTTTTTTTTACTATTGAGATATAAATTTTTTTGTTGATAACAAGTAAAAATTAATATCGTGGGGGGGGGGGGGGAGGGGTCTTAATAAGCTTAGAGTTGGTGGGAAAAATATCCAAAAATTAATAGGGGGGGGGGGGAACATTTATTAGGAACTCAAGAGTAAGGAGATTTTCAATTGTATATTTATGTTGAAAAAATTCAATATTGTTTTTATAATATAAATCCTATTAAAATACTTTTAACTGAAATTTTTATTTAAGATATAAAATATTTAGTCATATAAAGTAATGAAACACCTTTGTTTTTAAAATTTTAAAGTTTTAGAAACAAGGTCTTAAGATAAAAAAAGATTTTTAATTTGTTTTTTAAGTCAAAGATTTTAGACATGAGATTAAATAAAAACTAAATTTTTTTTTTTGATTTGACTTGAAGAACATTTTATTACTAATATGAAAAATACGTTATAATAGAATAAATAATTGACAAAAGTTTTCATTACATCAAAGTAAAACTTATACAATACCTACAATTAAGATCTAAATGCTTGACAACTGTTTTTTGTTGTTACGGTAAATAACTAAGAACATTTTTTATGTTCTCAATACGCAATAAAATTGTTACTTTTTATATATTGTTTGTTGACACATTTATTTCGTTAACACATGATAACTGGCATTATATGATTTGGGTTCGTTTATACTTAAAGGGTAAATAATTTTTCGAAATGAGTGATTTCTATATTTTTAAAACAGTAAAAATATTTTGTTAATTCATCATTGCTTTTTAGTATTATTGAGGGTTTATATTTAATTATCAATTTAAAAAATAGTTTGATCAATAAATAAAAGATTGGTTGCATTAGGAAGAAATGTTTTTGTTTTTTACTCATCGGATAATTTTGAGTCATTAATGATGAATAATATTTTAAAAAATTGTTAATTTAACCTCAAAGTACAAAAAATGGTAAAAATTATTAGAATTAACAATTTTGTACAATTTTAAAACGTTTGAGGTTTAATAATTCTTTTTAAAAAGTATAAAAGTTTATAAAAAAAATTTTATTATTCTAATTTTGGGAATTTCATTATAATAAACAACAAATAGCGTACAAAAAAATTACATTCAGCGAATTTGTATCGCCCAAAGTTGTTTTAAATATTTGGTTTAAGCAAACATATAACAATAACAAATTTAAATTATGCTTAAATTTAAATTATGCTTTAAGCACTTAAAATGTGTCCTAAATATCGATTTTAAGCAGTTACACATATAGTCTGGACGCTACATTTAACTTTTTCTTGGAAATGAAGTGGACATTACAAAAACTACTTAAATAGTTTAAGGTTGATATCTTGAATGAGGAAAACTTTACGTGTCTTTCTGAAAGTGCTTAAAGGGTCAAACTTGGGTCCTTATTTTGTACTGATGACGTCACGCTGATATATTTTTTTTATCAAACTAAAAAATACATATTTACGTCAAATGTTAGATAACCTTTTGAGAAAACCTTATAATAAATAATGAAATCTCGAGAAAAAGCGAGCAATTCTAAAAGTGCCTAAAGAGCCAAATTCGGGTCCTTATTTGGTACTGATGACGTCATGCTAATAATTTTTTACAAATTTTGTGGAAAAAAAAAGAAAAATTTCGTGAACAGATTTTTAAAAGGGAAAATATTACAAGGGTTGAAGTTCTTGATTGATGACTTCATTTACATCAAGGTTAAAATACATGTATATATATATATTATTATTATAGATAGATATTCAATCAATTTTAAACTTAAAATGACATCCCGATCATTTGTGTTTTCACAAGAAGAACAGTTGCACAAATCCGTACAAGTCAATCCATGCAATTGACGAAGACAAACCTGTGTTTCACATTTTGACTTTATACACGCACAGGAAATAAACTGCAAAAAATCGTCTTGGAGCAGGTGGAATGAACATCAATTCAACCTCAAGTTGATCGCCAATTTCTTGCCATCCATATCTATTGGGTTTCGGAATATCGGGATTTACCTCTAGTGGTTGTTTGACATTTGCTGTTATATATAAATCTCTCTTGCAATGACACATAAGAGCATTCCTGGTAGGTAGAAACTTTTGGGGTTCTAGAGGTTCTTTCTTGGCAATAAACTTAAGGTCTCTTCCTTTGTTCGTATCACTGCATTTCAATTCATATAATTGACATATAAACTTTTCTATTTGGTCAAAATGGGTTACATCAAAGGTCAAAGAGTCCCCAAACTTGGAAAAAATTGACTTTAACTCTTCAGACTGTCTCATTAGTTTGAAGAACTTCAACTTACCAATCCCGTAAAATGCACTTGTATAATCGTCTTCCTGCTTTTCAAGAATTCTAAATGCATAAAGAGCAGGAAGAGCTTTGCAACAATCAGTACTTAATTGTGAGACAATAAGATTTATATCAAGAGTCTGTCTTTCAGTAGAAATGCCAATATCCACAAATAAGTGTATTCCAAGTTGGTTTTGGAAGTACGAAGCGTAAATAGCAATATCTATGTCAACCGTGTGAATGCAAACGGTTTCAACGCCAATAGATGCAGCGTGTTTAGAGCACAAGAATACTTTTGTATCAACCTCTTCTTGACTTGTATGCAGTGATACAACTTCCTTGCTGGAAACCTTTATGTATAATATAATTTTATAAGATACGCTAAAAAAACAGAAATAACTTATATCAAGTAAATGAATAAAACAAAATAATAATTTATTAGCTAACCTGACCGCCGACCTTGCATGTCAATTTATAAAATCGTGACTTCAAGTTTACAAAGAAAACATATTCGATAAGCTGTGATGCAAATCATTCTCTATGTGACCAATCTTA